AAGCATATCGAGAAGTTAGTACCGTTGTCCTCGGCTCATCGGAGACTTAAGTCCATTTATTGATGTTCTTTCAATAGAAGTTATGATTGTTATCTCCAGTTGAAGTGTGGATTGTTACCCTCAGTAGGATACAAGCAGTAACACAAAGATCATTTGAGGTTGTTTACCCGTACAAGACGTGATGGAAATGTCATTTCCTAGGAGGACCCCTCTACCATGTAAAGGATATGTTGCTACTTGACAAAATTATGTCTGCCAAGGGGTTTTCTCTTCAGAGATATCTATTCCCCAACAAAGCATTCCTCATTTCTCTGAAGGAGGAGAATGAATCTCCTCCCCAGAAATTTAGAAGTTGTTTGAAGTCAAGATGATTTCTTTACAATGGACTGCAATTTATTTTTGCAGTATCATCCCTAAAGTCCACTTTTTAGTGGCATTTCTCCTCGGAGTTGACATGATGAAGTTGCAATCTTGCATCGCAGTTTTTACCCAATGGTTGGTAGTCCAGATTGTTTATTCTTCAGTGAAGTTTACCATTCCAAACAGGGGCATATTGCCATGATTTCTCTTTTTGCGAGTATTGTAGGTCTTTTATGACAAGAAGCATACTAATAAATGAATCAAGAAGGGTCTGTATGCGACCAACATGAGGATTTCTGTAGAATGGGATCCAATTTCCCTAGTGAATGATCACCTTTGCTAAAAACAGAATCACTCATCCCCATTAAATGCGTACTTTCGCTCCGAGTATCCCTCTTTCTCAGTGCAGCCTATTTCTTTCCAGGTTTTCTCGGAAGAATCATTTTATTCACCAACCAGAGATTTTGGTATACTTCCCTTGAAGTCGACACTCTACGGCTTCCCCAGTGAGGTTTGTACACATCTTCCCCATGAAGTATGTATTCTCCTACTCAGTGAGGGATGCACTCCCTCTCTCTTCAATGTGGTTTTCCTATATCAGAGTTCTTAAAGAAACTCATGTTTGCCTATGGGAGATTATAGTTTGTTATCCTCATGAGGACGACCATCATCCGCAATGAAATGATTTCTGCTCCCCATTAAAGAACTTCTTGTTGGCTTGAATCTTGCGGATATGGCTATACCCAGTGCAATGAATATTGTTGATGTTACCATCTAAGTCTTTTGGCTCCCCAGTGTAAAAGGTAGTCTTTATCTCCAGTCGAAGCCAAATTTCGAGGACCTATCGGTGTAACTTATCCATTATTCTCCAGTGGAGCTAGCTTTATTTCCCTAGTGGAGCAAATTCTTCTTTCCTTAGTGGAGCAAGTGTCATGTCTCCCTAGTGTGGTGTGCATAGGAGTTCTAGTCATAACTCTTTCATCCCCGATGGTAGAAGATTTTGTTGAGATATCCCCAGTTGAGTTTCTGCCCCAAGACGTTTATGTCTTCCCCAAGTGAAGACTTTTTACCCCCCAGCGGTGTTATCCCCAGTGTGGTCTGAGTAGAATCCTTTTTATTTAAGAATTTATATACCCCCCATTAGAAGCTATCTTTGTCAAGAAATTATATGCAAGAAAGTTTCCATCCCCAGCAAAGCTCTCCTCTTTCTAACAGAGGATAAAGGATTCATTCCCCAAGAAGTTGAGGGTCTGATTAGAATTCAAGATTTTCTCTGAACTACAATTTATTTTTGCAATGTTGCTCTCCCAGAAGTTACTTCCTCAATGATAATGATCTTTAGTGGTTGGTGGTTCCAAATATCGGTTCCCCATTGAATTTCATATTTCCTTTTCTCTACAGAAGATCAAATGTGCGAGAATAATCGTTCGAAAGTTCATTGTCTTCTCAGCAGATGATTATTGACGTGTTTCCCCCAGTGCATCTCTAAACATGCATCATTACATTGCATATACCAAAACATGTAGCATTTCTATTGTATGGAGCATTACCCTAAAAAAATGCAAACATGCATGAGTATAAGCCAATTATGTTCACTTGTGATAACCAGATTGTTATGCACTCAGATTTGAATCATCTCCACAACAAGCCTAGGGTGATACTGTTATGTTTCCTCAACGGAGTTTGTTTTGATTCACCACCAGTCAGGTCTTTCGTATTTCTACATTTCCCCAGTAAGTCATGGTTTTCTCTTGGCTTTGCAAGCCCTTGGTTATTTTAACCATGTTTGCTTTGTTGTTGGAGTGCGAGTAAGAGTCGGTGTATAACCTTTCTTTCTTCTTAAGTATTTGAGTATCCATACTTGGTGTATGGTAATTCAGATAATTGCCACTCTTGAAGAATTACACCCCACATTTGGCCTGAGGGAATTGGTAGTTCTTGTGTATTTGTAATCTTTTAAAGCCCAACGCGTGTTGGCAATCCTTATTTAGAGTCCATACAATTGGTCTCTTTTTCTAATCAAAGTCTGCCTTCGACCGACGTTCTGTTTGGATTCAATACATATGGGAATCCGCATTAAGTTTGTTTTTTCTGCTTGCCCTTGCAAGCCTTTGGTTATTTTACCCGTGTTTGATTTTCCGTTAGAGTGCGAGTAAGATTCGGTGTATAGCCTTTCTTTCTTCTCAAGTATTTGAGTATCCATACTTGGTGTGTGGTAACTCAGATAATTGGCACTCTTAAAGAATTACACCTCGCCTTTGGCCTGAGGGATTTTGTAGGTCTTGCATATTTGCAACCTATCGAAAGCCCAACATGTTTTGGCAATCCTTGTTAGATTCTGCTTTGACCAGTCTCTTTCTCTTGTAGATTTCACCTTCGATCGATGCTCTTTGAAGGTCCTGCTTAGTCGATTCTTTGTCTTTGGTTTATTTGTGTTAGTCGAGTTCTCCTGTCGTTAGCTTAGCTAACCTTTTCTGTTAAGTCCTTCAGTGTCTCTTCAAAGTCCAGTTGTCTGGCATCCTTGTTTAGGAAAACGCGTCCTTTCCTGTTGGGGATTTCTTCGGTTAATCTCTTTCTTGTGTTCGCTGTCAACTCTGAGCATTTTTTCTTGATGTTCGATGTCACTTTTGTGTGTCTAACTCTGGCCAGATATGCATATCTGTATCCCCTGTGAGTTCTCTTTGAATGGCGTTCTTTTCTTAAATCCACCTTAGGCTGGTACTTTTTGATAGGAGTCCTCTTCGGTTGGTCTCTTTTCATTTGTAAGTTCGCCTTTGATCGGTGTTCTTTCCTTAGGAATCTATCTTCGGCATAGTATTCCTTGTTAAAGATTCCCCTTCGGCTGGTTTCTTTCCCCTTAAAATCCACCTTCGGCTGGTACCTTTTATTGAGAGTCACCTTCGGTTGGTCTCTTTTCATTTGCAAGTTCGCCTTTGATCGGAGTTCTTTCCTTAGGAATCTACCTTCAACATAGTATTCCTTGTTAAAGGTTCCCCTCCGACTGGTTTATTTACCCTTTAAATCCACCTTCAGCTGGTACCTTGATGAAGATTCCCCTTCGGCTGGTTTCTTCACCCTTTAAATCTACCTTCAGCTGGTACCTTTTGTTAAGAGTCCCCTTCGGATGGTCTCTTTTAATTTGTAAGTTCACCTTTGATCGATGTTCTTTCCTTAGGAATCTACCTTCAGCATAGTATTCCTTGATGAAGATTCCCCTTCGGGTGGTCTCTTCACCCTTTAAATCCACCTTCGGCTGGTACCTTTTGTTAAGAGTCCTCTTCGGCTGGTCTCTTTTCATTTGTAAGTTCGCCTTTGATCGACGTTCTTTTCTTAGGAATCTACCTTCGACATAGTATTCCTGGATGAAGATTCCCCTTCGGCTGGTTTCCTTATCTTGAAGTCCGCCTTCGGCTGGCACCCTTTAAATCCACCTTCGACTGGTATCATTTGTTAAGAGTCCCCTTTGGCTGGTCTCTTTTCATTGTAAGTTCGCCCTTGATCGGTAGTCTTCCCACCCTTAAAATCCACCTTCGATTGGTACCTTTTGTTAGGAGTCCTCTTCGGTTGGTCTCTTTTCATTTGTAAATTTGCCCTTGATCGACACTCTTCACCCTTTAAATCCACCTTTGGCTGGTATCATTTGTCATGAGTCCTCTTCGGCTGGTCTCTTTTCATTTGTAAGTTTACTCTTGATTGGAACTCTTCACCCTTTAAATCCACCTTCGACTGGTATCATTTGATAGGAGTCCCATTGGTTTGGTCTCTTTTGCTTTGTAAGTTCGCCTTTGATCAGTGTTCTATTCAGAGTCAATGTTTATTTGTATCCCCAGTAAGTTTGCCTTAGATTGGCGTTCCTTCGTTAGAGCCTTCTTCGGTCGGTCTCTTGTGTATGTCTAACCTTGACCTGACATCCAAGAGATTTACTCAGCTAACTACTGCAATAATGAGGGAAAAAAAGCAACAAAAAAAATACAGAAAACCAAAATATAATAAAACCTGACTGGCTTTGGAGTGCAAATTTTTGGGTTCTTTTAAGTATTTAATCTTCTTCCACCTTGAAAGCTCGAAAGGCTGGCGCCAATCTCACCTTCAGGTTTAAGACGATTAAATAGAGGCAGTTGTTGCACCCCAAAATTTTCCCTCCTAATTTCTTTTATTTGGCTTAGATTTTTGCATCCATCTGTATATATTCCATTAGGTCATTAACATACATTTGCATCCGATAAAGTACCTGGAGGTTTAAAGTTGGCAAAATACCCTTTTTAGTCCTTTAACTTTACCCCAAGGTCCATTTTGGTCCTTTATCTAAAAAAAGTGTCAAACTGGTCCTATAATTCTTTCAAAAGGACCACGTTTGTCCTTTCCATCCACTCCGTTAGTCATGTTTAATGGCAGCGCTTATGTGGCATTACACGTGGGTTTAGAAAAATTGCATGTGGCAATTCCACTTAAAAGTCAGTTTGACACTCTTATGTGGCATTACCACTCATCCATTGCATGTTTCCTTGAAGGTGAAACCAGACTTCTCATCAGAGGTAAGTTTCTGCTTTCTGCAAGAATTCTATTTTCATAGTTAGGGTTTCCATGAAATTCGTCTCCCTTCTCTGAAATTCATCTCTCTATTTAGGGCATTGTGTGTAATGGAGGAAATTCTTAATATTACGATACACCACAGTGGTCATTTTGTTAGTGAGGACTTGAGTGTGTACGAAGGAGGTGAGATTGCTGATTTGAGAGTAGATGCTGATATGTGGGGTTATTTTGAGTTATTGGGTGCTATTAAGGAACTAGGTTACCCAGCCATAGAGAAGATATACTATAAGGATCCAACTGCTGGAATGAATCTGTTGTTTGATGACAAAGGGGCCTTAGAGATTGCTGATCTATATAGGGTTCATTTACGTGTTGAAGTCTTTATTCAACACCCATTGTCACAGCCTGAGTATGTTGATGAGAGTGAAGTTATTTTAGATGAGATACCCCTGAATGTAATGGAAGATGATGCAGTTAGACAAAATGAGGTAAGTGAGGATGCTGTTGGACAGAAGGAGGCAAGTGAAGATGTTGTTATACAGAAGGAGGCAATTGAAGATGTTGTTGGACAGAAGGAGGCAAGTGAAGATGTTGTTATACAGAATGAGGCAAGTGAAGATGATGTTGGACAGAAGGAGGCAAGTGAAAATGTTGTTGGACAGAACGATGATGATAGTTCTGATGATGATAGCTCTGATGATAGTAGCTTTTCGTATGATAGTGCAAAGGAGGTTGTATTTGATGATGAAACTGATGACTGTGATACTGACTTGGAAGAGGAAGAAGGTATGGCAGAAGTAACTGATCTCTGTGAAACTGAACCAAATAAAGAAGATAGTAAAGGAAGTGATAAAGGAAGTGATAAAGGAAGTGATAATGAAAGTGAGGATCTTGTAAGTGATTGTGATAGTGAAGATAGCAATACTACCAAGAGAAAGAAGTATCCCATTTTCAAGCTTCTAAAGGATATGTCCAATTACAAATGGGAAGTGGGTACATATTTTAGTACAAAAGAAGATATCAAGGAAGCAGTTACCTCTTATGCAGTCCAATCTGGCAGAAATTTAAAGTACATCAAAAATGACAAGATAAGGGTTAGGGTTAGGTGTAAGGATGGATGTGAATGGGAAGGTTATTGGGCTAAGTTGGATGTTGAGGATACTTGGCAACTAAGAAATGTGATAGACACCCATAGTTGTAGTAGAGAATATCATGTGAAGTTGTTGAAGACTAAATGGCTTAGCAAGAGGTTGCAGAATGCACTTAAAACCAACCCTAGATTGAAGCTTAAGGACATTAAGGAAAAGGTGCAGAGGAAGTGGAATGTGGGGGTCAACAAAACCAAGGCTATAAGGGCTAGGTTTGCAGCAAGAGACATGGTTGATGGGTCATTCTTAGGGGATTATACAAGGATTTATGACTATGCACATGAGTTGTTAAGATCTAACCCAGGGTCAACTGTGAAAGTACATGTCCAACCAGCTCAAGAAGGTAGTGGTGTTCAGAAATTACACTTCAAAAGGATTTACATATGCTTGGCAGCTTGTAAGGAAAGCTTCAGGTTAAGTAGACATTTCATAGGGCTTGATGGATGTTTTTTGAAAGGGCTTTGTGGAGGTCAAATCCTGTCAGCCATAGGCAGAGATCCCAATGATCAAATGCTACCAATAGCATATGCAGTAGTGGAGAGTGAAAACAAGGAAATTTGGACATGGTTCTTGGAGCTGCTTATTGGTGATCTAGGTGGAAGAGAAGAGTGTCTCACATACACTTTTATTTCTGATCAACAAAAGGTATGACTCTATTGTTAATTCTCAATTGATTAGTATTTTTAATAATTAAATTCTCATGTTTATCTTGGTATTCTCATGTTTAATAATTAAGTTATATACATATCATGACCCAGGGATTATTGCCTGCAATGGAGGAACTGCTGCCTACAGTTGAACAAAGATTCTGTGTTAGGCATCTCTACAACAACTTTAGGAAGAGATTTCCAGGAAAAAAACTAAAGGAAATTATATGGAAGGCATCCAAATCAACTTACTACCAATCTTGGGAAAGAGAGATGAAAGTTATGAAACATATCAATGGAGAAGCATACAAGCACATGATGTCTACCCCTCCAAGATTTTGGAGTAGATCATACTTCAAGACTCATAACAAATGCGATGCAGTTCTCAATAATATGTCAGAATCCTTTAATAGTGTTATTTTGGAGTCAAGGGCCAAGCCATTAATAACCATGGTGGAAGAAATTAGGATATACATGATGGAGAGATGGGCTACAAACAGGATGAGGTTTCAGAAATTGACAGATGTAGAAGTGTTGCCAAACATTATGAAAAAGGTTGAGAAAACAAGTTCATTCACAAACATGTGGCTTCCCAGGTAAAATTATTAAAACAAGCATTTTTTCTGTGTTAGAATGTCTGACTTTGGAATGTCCATTCTCATCTTAATTTGGAATGTCCATTTTTCTGTGTTAGGATGTCTGATGAGCATATGTTTGAAGTGAGGCATCTGGAAAATTCTGCTGAAAAATTCACTGTAAACATGAAGGAAAAAATCTGTTCATGCAGAAGATGGGAGCTAACAGGCCTACCATGTGTTCATTCACTTGCAGCAATCAAGAATAGGAACCATAGGATTGATGAATACATTCCTGATTATTACAGGAAATCTAGATATTTGCAAGTGTACAAACCTGTCATATTCCCTGTTAATGGCTCAAACCTATGGGTTACAACTGAGTACCCTGATGTTATGCCACCCAAATTCAGGAAAATGCCTGGAAGGCCAAAGAAAAGGAGGAATTTAGAGCAAGGTGAGCTAGATGGTACTGATAAAAAGATGAGAAGAACAGGATTCATTATAAAGTGTAGCAGGTGTAAGCAGGTAGGTCACAACAAGCTTACTTGTAAGGTGCCTTCTACTAGTCAGACACATGTAGCTCAACCATCTGTACCACAAGCACCATCTGTACCACAAGCACCAGTGCCTTCTCAACCATCTCAAGCATCTGTACCAGTGCCTTCTCAACCATCTCAAGCATCTGTACCAGTGCCTTCTCAACCATCTCAAGCATCTGTACCAGTTCCTTCTCAACCATCTCAAGCATCTGTACCAGTGGCATCATCTGTACCAGTGGCATCTGTACCAGTGGCATCTCAAGCATCTAAGTCAGTTCCTGGTCAAGGTTCTCAGGCATCTCAATCTAAATCATCCAAAAAGTTGTCAGTTAGAAGGCCAAATACACCATTTGTCCCATCTCAAGCATCTAAGTCAGTTCCTGGTCAAGCTTCTCAGCCATCTCAATCTAAATCATCCAAAAAGTTGTCAGTTCGAAGGCCAAATGCACCATTTGTCCCACCAGGTCCAACAACGAGGTTAAAGGCATCAATAACTGTTGTAGGTCCAACAACAAGAAGGACAACACCAACTAAAAGAGCAGCACCAAAGTGGAAACCTTAGTTTACTTTTATGTCTGTTTTGGATTAGGATTGGAATATAGTTGTTATGTTGTTTTGTTAACTTGGAATATTAGAATTAGTTATGTTAAGTTGTTTTGATCATGTAATATCAAGAAGGACAAGTTTTTGTTTTGACCTGTAATATCAGGCTGTTGTTTTGATCATGTAATATCAAGAAGGACAAGTTTTTGTTTTGACCTGTAATATCAGGCTGTTTGGATTGGACCTGTAATATCAGGTTCTTTTGTATGCAACTTAGTGGTATCCACCACCTTATAATTATATGTTTGGATTGTTACAGTATGTTACATTATGTTTTACATTGATACAAAAATGCTACTAGTTTTACAGTACGTTACATTGATCAAAATGCTGCATTGATACAAAAATTGCTACATTATGTTTTACAGTATGTTACATTGATCAAAATGCTACTAGTTCAAAAATTCAAGTTGATACACAAATTCAAATTCATAATGATACCATGTTCAAATTGAGACTGTGTTACATATGAATCTATTACAACATCATCCAAATTACCACAACTAACATAATAAAGAAGAATCTTTTCCATTTTTTCTGAGAATTCTTCATCTTCTTCATTTCAATTTGTAACTCCATTATCTTATGTTTCAGCCCATCCTTCCTTTCCTTTAGATGATGTATCTCCATCTTTGCTCCATCAAGCTCATTTTGCAGCTTCTCCAACCTATTATTCTGCTTCTTTATAAACTGATCCTTCTCATCCACCACATCATCAAAGAACCATTGAAAGTATCCACACCCAGATTCAGATGAACCCTGTAATGGTGACATCCAGATTCATCTCAGCTATTGCAGGAACTATCAGAACAAGAATATATGAAAACCCATTTTAATTTCATGCTTACCTTGTAATGACGACAACCCCAGAATTGCTTCCCAAAGTTTGTGACGGTGGTAGCCCTTCGAAGAACCGCAGATTCTCCACAACCACATATAGGTCTCCATCGCAACTTTCCATCTAAGCTTCCATCTCTATTGCAATCGTACGAAGACCGGATCTCTGATGATGCTTCCTTCATCATATTGAGGGAATTTCAAATTCAAAATGGGAAAATTGAGGATTTCTTGAACCCTAGAATTTGAGGATTTCTGGAACCAGCTTGAAGATGATAACATTCCATGTCACCTGCCACGCATGCAAACCAAACGTCCGTTTGGACCTTTTGGACGGAAAGGATTCCTATGGTCCTTTTGAAAGAATTATAGGACCAGTTTGACACTTTTTTTAGATAAAGGACCAAAATGGACCTTGGGGTAAAGTTAAAGGACTAAAAAGGGTATTTTGCCTTTAAAGTTCAGTGGTTGTTCAAAATCAGGGCTTCATTGTGATTGAAGTATACAAATCAAATAAAGGATGTTTTCTTATTCAAACAATAAATGGTGGAATTAGGGTTGTAATCTGGGTCACTGAGAATTTTTGTCTTCATCAAGCTACGAGGTTGTAAGGGTTTATTTTTCTATGTGCGATTGAAGCCAGGTTTTCAGCAATTGTGCTCCAATCGAGTTCTTCTCCAAGGATCATGATTTAGGGTTGCATCTTATGGCTATCTGGAGTCTCTTTCTGTCAGAATTAATGACCTCCATCCATTACTTGTGTTACAAGTTCTGTCATCATTTCTTGGACTTTCTTATAAAGGCTTGACTTTCACTAGAAGCTTCCTTTTCATGTGATGAGCATTTGGTTTCGTTCATTAAGGATGGAATTTGATTTGAAATCATCGTTTGGGTTGGTGTCCATTCAAGTTTTCTAAAGGTGTTAGTTGAATAAAGTTGTTTGAAGCTTGTAAGAAAATAGGTGGAAGATGGATTATTTGGATTTCTTGAAGTACCAGATAAACATGGATTTGATAATTAAAGAGTGGATTCATTGTTATTTACTTGGTACATCAAAATTAACTTGTTCAAGAGCATAGATATTCATGATGTTTCTTGCACGGGGTATCTTATTTCCAGGAGGTATATTGGCGGCCAGGTACTTGAAATATTTCAAGGGCGATGGTTGGTAAGAAATTCATGCTTACATGCAATACTCAAGGTTATCAATAGTTTTTCCTACACTTCTTTTAGCAGTTGCTGAGCTTCGCGGTTTTCATGTTAGCTCAATACATGTTAAATTTGGAATTGCTGCAATATTTGTGGCTTGCATACAACCAGTTAATTCATTCCTTAGGCCCCCAAGACAGTCAAATGGAGAGCAGGTATTATATAAAAGGATTATCTGGGAATACTTGCATATAATTGTCGGCAGATATGCGATTGCCATTGGCATTGCAACACTTTTTACTGGCATGAAGTATTTGGGAGACATGCATGCTTTAGAAGACGTCCATGGACTTAGTTGGGCAATGATAATTTGGTTCTTAGTAGCTGCATTGATTGTTTCTCATTTCAAATACTGCGAGAAGCAAAAGTCAGAGATGGGATATTTGGAAGAGGCAATTTACTGCACATATAAAACTCAAGAAAATATTACAATTTGCAGTAAAAAACAAATGGTTCTAATTTCATTTTCACACCTCAAGCAAGTCAGATATTACATTCCAAATCTACCATTTAAAAACCATCAAATCCCATTACAAAGAAACACCACATCCATTACAAATTCAGGAGCAATCATATAAAACCAATTACCCTGCATATATCTTTTGACATTATTTCATAGCAAAAACAAGAAGAATCAGGAAACTACACCAAAACCATTGTTCTAAGCCTAGTTCCTAAAAGCCTAACTCCATTTTCCATCTCTATGCTTCTTCATCTATAAGCTTTTATACTTCCAGCTGCCCAAAAAAATAACCAACCATAACAATGCACAAGCTGCTGCACCAACAAGACATATCCAATGTTATGCTATGTCTTCACCTTTTAATTAACTGCAAGCTAGGATTATGAATAAAACACCTGCATACATAAATAATCCAAGGCATCATAAATCGAGCAGTTCACATTATCCACATATCCACATTCAGTTTTACACATCAGTTCATAGATACAAAATTTGTGGACTTGGAAAAACCTACAAGATCATATAAAGAATTCCAAATCAAACAAGTTTAGAAATTTGATGCAAAATAGTTCCACACCTTGCTGACTAAACAGTAAAGAGAGAAACTGGTTCAATACTAGGTTAAGTAGGCTTCAAAACCAGTTCACTATTTATCCATAATCAGGTGCATATCCATTGAAGAAGTTCCTTGCATTGCATACAGTCCAAACCAACCGAGTTCAAACCGGTTCACAATGATTGCCTTTCATTACTAAACTCGCGACTGCATCGTAACATCACCCATTATGCTGCTCTAATCAGAGCTGATGTATACTTGCTCTTGGCCATGTACTAATCTACACCAGAACATTGTGAAAGAAAATAAATAGAAAAGAATATCATAAAGGCCAGCTGTTTCTAACAACTTTGGCTAAAATTCAAAACAGAATGACAACGACAATAGTGAGACGATTCTTGAACGAGGGACTTACGTCATGACTTTGGGAGATGCTAGTTCGATGGATATTGATGAAGATCTGCATAGCAGGCATCGTGCAGTGTATGGTCGAGAGGCCATGTGTAGGCTCTTTGATCCTATAGTTCTTATGCCGGGGATGCAGGGTCTTGGCGCTGAGATTGCGAAGAATCTCATTTTTGCTGGTATCAAGTATGTTACCTTGCGTGACGTATGGGATCTGTCTAGCAGTTTTGTGTTTGCAAAACAACAAGATAATGAATACCTTTGCACCAATACCTAACAAAAAGGATAGGGAAGTTTTGCATCAGGAATAAAGAAGGAATTATTAAATCAGAAAATATTCAGAAACAGAATTTGCTAGCTCAGTATCTGATGCAATCCTAGACATCTATTTTGGTAACAAACTTTTGAAAGCAAGGGCTCAGATTCAAACAACCCTAACTAATTTTCAGATTCCAACAGAACTATAGAACAGAAAACTCACCTTTATCACAGGATTCTGGATCCACTCTCCAATTCTGTAGAGAAAAAAAACAGAAAAAAATCTCTCTCTCTCTCTCTCTCTCTCTCTCTCCATCACCACCTAAAGTATCTGAGAATTCTCTGAAGGTTCACTAATACAAAACTTTCTCTTCACTCTTCATCTTTACCTTCATCACTAAAAACACAAGACAAAAGTTCTCCCAAATATTCAGTCTTCATCACCTTCATCAACCTTCATACCATCAATCTTCACTCTCTCTTCATTGATCAAACTGCAGAAGAATCACAAAATCAGAACAAACTCTCTCTGCACCATTACCGCATCTTCATCAACCTTTCAACCTTCATCTTCGCTTGCTTCAAGGATTTGTCATCGCTTCACATCTTCATCACCATTAAATCTCTACAACGGCTTCAATCATCATCAATATTCAAGAACTCACTCTCTAATCCATAACCGCACCACATATCTCTCCCCATTATCTCCAATTTATAGTTTCTCAGTGGCAACATCTTCTGTTTCATCGACAACGGTGTCATCACATCATTGCTTCTGTAACACTCAAGAACGAGTAAACAACAGTAACATTATCATCATCATCTTCTGGTTTCGTTTCGAAAATTAAAACATTCACGGAGAGGAGGAAGCATACGAAGTAGAAAGATCAAAAGCAGAAGAAGAGATAAAAGGAGAAGACGACGGAGCGTGCATACCTGATTTGAGGATTCTCTAATTATCTCATCATCGTCGTTGTTGAAACGCCGCCGGAGCGACTCCAGCCGGTAAGCCTAGAACCATTATTTTCTTCGCCTATTTTCAACATTTTTGCATACTGTGATGTAGTTTTTGGCTTCCTAAATGCTTCCCCCAATTTCTTGCCCCAATATCCCTCGTATTTACCATCTGAATTTGCATAGAGAGAGGCGGATCAAACGAAACAATAAAAAGAAATGAAAGAATTTGAAACGGATGAAATCGGTAGCGATGAAGTTGAGTAAGGTCGCGCCGTCGGAGGCGCGGATTAGAGGATACAGAGGAGTTCAGGACGGATAAAAGAAGAGGATGGGTTGTGGTGGTTTGAGGTGGCCGGAACTTGAGAACCACGGCGGTGCTATGATCGAGATGAAAGATGCACCGCTGTATGTAGAGTGAGAAGGAAAGACGAGAGATATCATGGAAGATTAAGGATCATAAATTGAAACCCTACACAAGACTCACCGTTTCATATTTTGTTTTCTTTTAATTCTCCTTAAGTTCTTTTTCATGTTAACAAATCATGGCTAAAATAATTGTTGGGCTTGTGTTAATGCAAACCGAACCAAAGCCCATAGGGTTCATGTGTTTTTTTTTTTGTTTAGACAGGTTGAAGCAAACAAAAATTTGGTAGTTGTTATTGGACTTTGCTTGGGCCTGTATTATTTTTTTACAGCTTGGAAGTTTGTAACAAACACTGGCTTATTGGACTATTTCCCTTGGGCTGCGGATAGTTTCTACTTCAACATGCCACTCCTGGATTCAGTTTGCAACCCATGGGCTTTGTTTTGTTGTTTATTGTTTTAGTAATTCTTTTTAAATAATTTGTTAATTGTTTGGATTTGTTTGAATTTTCTTCTCATGAAAAAAATTATAAAATCAATAAAAATTTATTAGATTTTTTATGTGATTTTAGGACTTAAATCTCGATTATCTGATTATATTTGAGATTGGTAATTCACCTTTGCTTGTTGAGATTTGAGTCTCGTGCAGGTTTATTGGGAGATATGCGGATGCGCTTGAGATTTCGATTGTGATTTATTTTCACATCGATGATGCTTTGACGCTTATTCCGAGTATTTGATTTTCGACTCTTTTCTTTGATCAGTGAAGCTTTCACGAAGATCGTCGGGTTTCTTTGTTTTGAAGCGCTTTGCTACGGATTGATATCCGTTTGGTATTTTCTCTTGTTTATCTCATTTTTCACTTTACTGCTTTCTAGATATCACGAGAAGTATGATATACAGAGCGTGCACTCGAAGTCGATGTTTAAAGACCTATAGCAAGCATTCTGCACTTCATTTACTATATGTGTTGTGCTCGTTGTTGTACCCCAAAATTTGTCCTCCCATATTCTTCAAGAATTACAAAGAGCATGCTTCAAAATCTCCCCAAGGGTTGCACAGTTCAAGGGCCTCCTAACAGTCAAAAAATTAGGGTTTTGGTTCTGACAAAGAAAATGAAGTTTCCAAGGGTCCAATCAAGTCCCACATGCCTACAAACATGGTCAAGCATCATCATGTCAAGTTTCAAGACTTACAGCACAAAATTGCACAGTCAAAAACCCTAATTGCTCAACAGTCAACTGTAGGGGCAAAATGGTCATTTGATAGTCAAAAGTTCAAATTTTTGGTCAACATCTCATTTTTAAGCCACAAACATCATTTGATCAATTCTTGATCATGATTTTCAAGGCATGGCTCAAAAAGTCTCAAGATGCAAAAGTTTCCATATTTGGACAGTTGAAAAAGTCAACTGTAACTTGACCAAGGCATAACTTCCACATGGTTTATCAGAAAAATTCCATTCAAAGCTCATTTTGAATAAAAAGACATTTCCTACAACTCCTCTTCACACTTCAAGTCCAAGAAATGCTCTCACAAAAAGTTATCAATTTCAACATTATAGGTCATTTTCAAAAGTCAACAAAAAGGGACTTTAAGTCAAAGACCATAACTTGAGATTGGTAAATCTAAATGACATGGGACCAAAGGCATTGGTTAGAGGACTTCAAGACCTTTCCAAAATGTCCAAGAACATGATCAAAGCTTAAAACTTGAGCAAGATATGCCTTGTGGAAGTTGGGAAATTTTTGGATATTTTGAAAAGTCAACTTTGCTTCAAATGTCTTAAAATTGCTAATGGGCCACATTTTCTTCCAAGAATCATCATCCAAAGCATATGCACGACCATTTGGCCCAAAGGGAGTTTATTCATCATTTTTATTTATTTATTTGAATTTTTAATTGCTATTAATTCATTTAATAAAATAAAATATGTGAAAAATACTAAACCAAAGTTTTTAAATCTTTTTGTGCAAGATAAACTCTTCTTAAAGGCTCAAGATTCGTGCACAACTCAAATGGGGAAGATTGGACATGATTGGTATCAAATATGCATGGAAAAGATTTGAAAATATATGCATGAAAATCAAATATTCATTCCATCAATGCAAGGATTTTTGGATCAAAAACTCAACCCTAATCCATCCTCATATAAGTGTGATCAAAACCTAATGCCAAAAAACCTCCAAGCTGCACCCAAAGCTGAAGAAGAGCATTGCATTTTTTGTGAAAAATTCCAAAACTAAAATCACGATTACAAAGGGTTTCAAGGCAAGAAAATTATCTCATTGCATTCCTGAGGCTTCAGGGAACGTGTCTGGATCAAAATCATTGTCCCTAACCTCAAGAAACGGTAAAACGGAGCAGTCCTGTTCATGATATATTGCATACTCGTGTTTTGATTTATAGGACGTATTCATGCATTCTAACACTTGTTTTATACTAATATGAACTCAACGAAACTCATGGAATCATTGAATTGAATTAACACTGCTTGTACAGAGAATTGCCATTGTTGTCTTTTAGGGTTGCAGAGGTTTCAAATTGGGGCTTCCCTATTCTGGAAAAATTGGCCAACAGGACCCACACCATCAGAATCAGAAACTCATGGCCAATCGTTTCCATACCTCGCGCTCAATTTATGAGCCACCATATTCTATTCGCTATTTTCATATGCACTATTTAGTGGGGGTTTAAAACCCCCGCTATCTAACTGTTGTTTTTCAGGTAAAACGCAAACGAGTGGAGAAGAAGGTTATGTGGCATCATATGATTGCGTACTTTGAATTCTAGCGCGCGTTTTTCTGATTCATACCACTAATGCTTGTCTTTTCTTATAATAATTATTTGTCATATAATAAACAAAGCGCGCGTTTGGTACAGATGGTGAAGGCATTGTCTCATAAGGCACTGGGACCTGGGTTCGATCCCAGGTCCCCCTCCCTTTCTCATATTATTTTCCCTTCTATCTTCCTATGCAGCGCGTACTCCAGGGGTTCACTATGCACTCAATATCCCAGCTTGCCACATGGCCACTGAGGGCAATCCAAAGGCCCAGATCTGATGAACATCATGGACATTGGTCAACGCACACGCACGCTTCCAGGAAAAGTCAAAAAGGCCTTGAAATAAATGGGCCTAATTGCTAGGCAATTCCTCCAGTTTGTGGACAGCACCCCCCTTGGTTTGCTCTCTTCTATTCTTTTTTCTAGTTTCATTTGTTTTGTTTAATTCTTATTTAATTCTTTAAATTAACATTCTCTTAATATAAAAAATAATAAAAATCAGAAAGTCATAAAAATTAAAATCTATTTCATTTAATGTTATTTTTTGTAAAAAAGGTCTCATTAATTAATTAGTTTTTTTTATTCTAGGGTTAACTTTAACATTTTCTTAATAAATTTAAAATTTGTAGAATTAGGTTTTAATTACTTTTGTCTTTTTCTTTTTCTTTTATCATTATTAATTATTAATTATTTTCTTGTAAATAAAATTGCATTAATTAATTAGGTTTAATTTTAGGTTCAATTTTAATATATTTTTCTTAATAAATAAAAATAGTTAGAATTAGGGTTAATTAATTTCTTAGTTTCATTTAATTCTCTTATTAAAAATTCATAAATACAAAAACTCAAAAATCTTTTCTTTTTTACTTTAATTTAATTAATTTGTTAATCATAATTTAATTTCATTAAAAAGGGTCCAACGCCCTCGCATTCGATCGTAATTCTAATTCGCGCGTTTATTTTATTTCTTCCTTTTATGTAATTCTCCCAAAGCCGTGTAAATTTGATATTTATCTTTCGCACTTTATTTTATGTCAAATCGGGTCCTGGATTTAATTTGGCGATGTGGACCGCGCCTTTGTAATAGTTTAGGAACTTTATATTTCTCGCAACTTTTTAACTGCTAATAATTTGCATGCAAGAATGAATGTTAAAATAAAAGCAACGCGTAGATCACTATGGTACATGTACAAGATAATTGCTAAACATGAAAACAACACACCAATTCACACACCACTCCTAGGGTACGCCTCACTGATGCCTTGACCTCGAAACGTGGTCGTCGAGTATAGGACGTTTTAGTAAGTCCTTATGTCCATGACATGATCCAGTTGCCTCGGAAAAGTTGCCTCGAATTAA